TTGTTGATTGCTGATTGTTGATTGTTGATTGCTGATTGCTGATTGTTGATTGTTGATTGTTGATTGTTGATTGCTGATTGTTGATTGTTGATTGTTGATTGTTGATTGTTGATTGTTGATTGTTGTTGTTGTTGTTGTTGTTGTTGTTGTTGTTGTTGTTGTTGTTGTTGTTGTTGTTGTTGTTGTTGTTGTTGTTGTTGTTGTTGTTGTTGTTGTTGTTGTTGTTGTTGATTGTTGATTGTTGATTGTTGATTGTTGATTGTTGATTGTTGATTGTTGATTGTTGATTGTTGATTGTTGATTGTTGATTGTTGATTGTTGATTGTTGATTGCTGATTGTTGATTGTTGGTTGTTGGTTGTTGGTTGTTGATTGTTGATTGTTGATTGTTGATTGTTGATTGTTGATTGTTGATTGTTGATTGTTGATTGTTGATTGTTGTTTGTTGATTGTTGATTGTTGATTGTTGATTGTTGATTGTTGATTGTTGATTGTTGATTGTTGATTGTTGATTGTTGATTGCTGATTGATGATTGTTGATTGTTGATTGTTGTTTGTTGTTGTTGTTGTTTGTTTGTTTGTTTGTTTGTTTGTTTGTTTGTTTGTTTGTTTGTTTGTTTGTTTGTTTGTTTGTTTGTTTGTTTGTTTGTTTGTTTGTTTGTTTGTTTGTTGGTTGGTTGGTTGGTTGGTTGGTTGTTTGTTGGTTGGTTGGTTGGTTGGTTGCTTGGTTGCTGGTTGGTTGGTTGGTTGGTTGGTTGGTTGGTTGGTTGGTTGGTTGGTTGGTTGGTTGTTTTGTTTTGTTTGTTTGTTTGTTTGTTTGTTGGTTGGTTGGTTGGTTTGGTTGGTTGGTTGGTTGGTTGGTTGGTTGGTTGGTTGGTTGGTTGGTTGGTTGGTTGGTTGGTTGGTTGGTTGGTTGGTTGGTTGGTTGGTTGGTTGGTTGGTTGGTTGGTTGGTTGGGTTGGTTGGTTGGTTGGTTGGTTGGTTGGTTGGTTGGTTGGTTGGTTGGTTGGTTGGTTGGTTGGTTGGTTGGTTGGTTGGTTGGTTGGTTGGTTGTTGTTGGTGCTGCTGCTGCTGCTGTTGTTGGTGGTGGTGGTGGTGGTCGGCAGCTGTTGGTTGTTGATTGTTTGCCCATGTCTAACGCCTCCTCCAGGTGCCATGAAAGCCGCTGGTGTCTTGGGTCCCCGCCGATGCGCCCAGAGCTTGGCGGAATCCAGCTAAGCCCTCGCGGAATCCGGCCGAAAAGTTGTTGCTCATTCGAAACATCAGTCAAAATTCTTAAATAAGTGGGTTTCTTTTAGTTTCGCAGTTGAAACCGACGAAAAGAGGGTATGATGAATGAATAGTATGGAATCCGAGCTCACATTCTACCCAAATTGAGATGGAAGCGGGGGGGATGTTATCAGGAGATAGCTCGCATGATGGTTCTTTGGGTTCCGCGCAACTACATATTTAGGATTGGCGATGTCCCTTTAGAGCAAACAGGGGACACGCAATCAACCGATTTCAGGTAAAACCTAACATTCTAGGGGTTGATTCCCCATTCTTTTCAACCATCGTTCTTCTCAAAAACCGGCTGTGTCCCCTGGGTTTTGATGGTTTCCTGATCCCTGGACAGAATGGGGAAGGTACTGATAGAAACATGAAAAAGAATCAGCAAACCAACATGGGTGTCAAGGAGTTGGGCTCAGATCTGACCCCTTGGATTTACAGGAGGAGTTTCAAATTTAGCTCGACGATTCAAGCTTCATGAAACCGCCTGGGCCCTAAATGTCGAAGTTTAATAGACACTGTCCGATTCACAAGCCCCTGGTCGAGTACAAGGGGGGCATCCCGCGTTTGTTGACGGAGGATCCGCCACTCTGGCTTCCTTGCTCATGGTTTGGGAGGTATTTAGTCTGGTTGAACTATAATACTTCACCAGCCTGACATAAGGGCTATTCCCCACATAAACCACCATTTGGCCATGCTGGGGTGAATTCGGTCGTGTGAGGTCGTTATAATCTCACCCAAATTTAGTGGCCGAAAGGCACGGAGCTTGGGCTTTGTGCAGGTCCATTTCCAGCCCAGCCACCCACCCAGCTCTGGACCGCGTCTTGCAACGGTCAAGCATCTCATTCACCCCGGAACAAGGAATGATTCAGTGAGGATCCTCGGTGGGCTTGGCCATTTGGCGCCATGATGGGGCTGCTGGATTCGCAAAATCCATCGGCTTATAAACAGCCTTTTGAAGGCTGAAGCCCTGTCTTTCTGACTTGTCACATTGCCGAAGTCCAACAATTCTTCATCTCTCTTCCAATTGTGAGCAACAGGCAGAATGTGCAACCCCAATTGTGGCCAACCCATTTCCCGGAAATCTACGAACGTGTCTATCTGTACCAATTGGTTAGATATGGGTGTGTGTCTTTTGGGTTTATAAGGGAGTTTAAGTATTAAATGGAAACTAACCCGTTTAGAGTTCCCTCGTTTTAAGACACGCCCATATGCTATCTGGTTGTTACTCATATTTCGTCAACTTGCAGCCACACCGTTTTCGCGACAATGTCATGGTGCCTACCCTGGAGCAACAAGGGATCAAGGGTCATTGACTTCGCATCGGACATGCCGTGAAAACTCCTTGCGGGTCATGGTGGTCCAAGGAATGACAATCCGTGTTGACCCCTGCGATCAGGCGCTTGGACCGCACAGCGCGTCCAAGCGCATGTCAAGTTGCCCCCCCAAAGCTGGCAGTTTCGCGGGTTCAACACAATCAAAATCAAGAAGCGGGGGTGTCTCTGAGGAAATGGGGACGGTCCCAACCGTGGCCCTAACCTTGATCATCCTCGGATTTTTTGGGGGGCATCTTTCCTGGCTCTTGGGTGGATTGAATGGTTCAGCAGATGGGAAGCGGTTGAACGCAAAGGAAGCATCTCGCGCAGACACGAACCCACAGCTAAGTGCCCAAGAATGGTCAATAGAACCATGGAAAAAACAAAATGTATCAAGAGAGGTCACTCGACAACCGACTTGCCAACTAGATCCACTGATCTACATCTATATCTAATATTGTTATCGTTACACGCAGATATCCAATACGTCTTATGTCTGCGGGGGTCAAAACCAACGGTACCATTTTGGGGTAGGCGAATTCACCACCCATTTTAGTCTATAGTGGGGATTGGGATGTTCACTGGGGGTACGATTTGGCTTTTGACCCATGGCCTTCTCGTGAAATATCGACCCTCCCCAAACCTCGCCCAAGGCCTCCGAGCCCAAAATAGAGACCAGGGCCCAGTGCGCCAGCAGCGGCCTCGAGGGCATCGTGTTTTTTTTTTTTCCTTTTTTTTTTCGTGTGGCCTGCTTCGGGTCGTTCTCGCGAAAGAAAATCTCTGCTCGTGCGCTGACCACAGCTTCCTTGGGGTGATTTCCCTCGACCTTCCCTTTAAAGCGACCCAAAAAGGTAAATACGCCTTCATAAAATAGGAGAAAACAAAAACACCTACTAGGAACCAGGCCAGTCACATGGCTGCCATTTCTCGGGCTGAGACGACCCATTCGTCCCACGGGTTTGGGTAGCCGGGCGCTCGAGTGGCAATGTCTTCAAAGAAACAACCAGGGTGTCTCTTGCAAGGGGCCCCAAACATGGGTGGCTGTCCGGTTTCCCTTTGAAACCATCCAAAACTGGGTACCCTCAAAAAAGGACACGCCCAGCATTTCTGGCTCCCAAAACACTAAGGCAAAGCTGACGAGGGCCCAGTTCTCCCAAGCAATCCGAGGGCCTGGTTTGAAACTAGGGGTCCTGGATAAGACTCTATTGTCATCTTCCACCCCCCTGGTAGGTTGCTGCACAAAGGTGTCCCTTGCAGCTCCACCTCAACATGAAGAGAACCACAACATTGCCAAAAGTGTAAAAACGTGCAAAGGCACATGCAGCTCCACCTCAACATGAAGAGAACCAAAACATTGCACAAGTGTAAAAAAGCGCAAAGGCACAAAACAAGACCGATGCTGTGAAGCGAGTGGATCTTCTGGCCCAATGGTTGTTTCAAAAGCAGCCGCCTCCTCAGCAGTTCCTCCTCTGGGCAGCAGCGCTGGATTGCTTGCCTGACGGCTTCGGCTTCAATGGTTGTTCACGAAACGGGAAATCCGCAGAAATGCAGCGGCTTCTCATGACTTGCCCAGAATATGAAAAAGCTGGGCAAATGATCTACAACTCATAAAATGAAAGCGCGGAATCCCCAAGTAAACGACCTTCTCCCGGGCTTTTGTTTGTCTGCAAAAGCCAGAGGTGGATGACTTGCGTTCTTCCCACAACAATGATGGTGCGCCATGCTGTGGACGTTCTCAGACAAAACGTCC